TTCACCTCAGCCTCCCAAAGCATGGGATTACAGGCTGAGCCACCGAGCCCGGCTAACAGCTTCAGTATTAAGAGGCCTCCAGGCACTGGCTTGAGGGAGGCCAGAGTTCGAGACTTGAACCCTTTGATCCTGAATCCACAAATTCAAGTCTATCTAGTTCTTCAATACCTAAACAACGATGGGAGTGGAATAGTGGAAAGGGGTTGCTTTCTCTACCCAGGGAAACCATTGACTATAAGATGGTTATAGGCCAAAATACTGACTTTTAAAATATAAAGTGCTAATAACAAACATGAAAAAGCCACATACATGTTGTCTTTTAAAGTGATGTTCTTGGGCTGGGCGTGGTGACTCACACCTGTAATCCCAGCACTTTGGGAGGCTGAGGCTGCAGCAGGGAGGATCACTTGAAGCCAGGAGTTGGAGACCAACCTGGGCAACAAAGCGAGACCCATCCCTTCCCATCTCTGTCTCTACAAAACTTTTTTTTTTTGCAGTGATAGAAAGAACAGCTCTTAATTGTAGTGTACCAAGCAAGGAAGATCAAGTAGCTTAAATGCCCAATTCTAACCTCCCTGATAGCTTGCAGGCAAAGATTTTTAAAGGCAAGGGTAAATTTCAGGAAAGCAGGAACTCCAGGAAAAATCAGAAATCAATATGTGGAGGTTACACATTGATTTATGCTTAAAGTGGCAGGATATCTTGAAGTAGGGGCTTGCAGGTTGTAAGTCGATTCAAAGATTTTCTGATTTGCATTTGGTTAAGAAGGAAAGTTTTGTTTAAAACTTTGTGGTCGCCAGGCGCGGTGGCTCACACCTATAATCCCAGCACGTTGGGAGGCTGAGGTGAAAGGATTGCCTGAGCCCTCAGGTTCGAGACCGGCCTGGGCAACTTGGCGAGACCTCATCTCTACAATAAATTTAAAAAAGTAGCTGGGCATAGTGGCATGTGCCTGTAGTTCCAGTTACTTGGAAAGCTGAGGCGGAAGGATCACCTGAGCCTAGCAGGTCTAGGCTGCGGTGGCCGGGAGTGTGCCACTGCCCTCCAGCTTGGGTGATGGAGTGAGATTCCAACTCAAAACAAAAATCAAAAAACAAAAAATCTTTGGGGTCAGTGGAAAATGTTAACTGGCTAGTGAGGGAGTGACTTTCTCCAAGTCCCTCAGGAAGAAACTTAGATCAAAGGTCGGTAGTTCAAGTTCAGTCTTCATTTCCCCTTTATCTGAGGTCTATGTACCAGCTGATCCATTCAATGGGGGGTCCTCAATGGGGGTCTGAGCGTAGTTCTGGAGACTGGGAAGTCCAAGATCAAGGCACCAGCAGATTCAGTGTCTAGTGAGGGCTGTTCTCCAAAGATGCTTTGCTGTGTCCTCACATGGCAGGAGAGGTACTACAAAAACTACAAAACATTTTTAAAAGACAGTTTTTAAAAAGTGATGTCCTGAGGTATGTGCTTATCCAGCTAAGTATCACAAAGACATTTTTGGGATTCTTTTGAAACCGCCTTTGGATAGAGTTGAGTGCTTCTTTAGGAACCTCAGTATTGTTACTCTAACCACGAGATGGTCTTTCTTGGTCTCATATCTTTTTCTGCAACCTTTTCCCTCTTTGTTTTACTTCGCTTCACTCACCTTAGCTGTATCCTGTGCTTTTGCTCTTGGGAGTGGGGGGCCAGGCCAGAGCAGGGGTCTTCTCCATAGTCAGTGACTAATAGAAAGCGGATTCATGTACTGCTGGTTGGTGACTTGACTAGCCACCCGAAGTTCAGGGGGAGGGGTGCTCTCAGGAGAAACCCGTGGTGCACCTGGGAGTGAGGTTGTGTGATGGATCTTGCTCTTTGCAGGTCGGGCTCTTTGTGGACTTTTTTGTGCGACTCTTCACCCAGCTCAAGTTTGGAGTGGTGCAGACGTGTATCCTTTCCACGTTTCTGGTATTCCTGGACGTCAGTGGTCGCCATGATTCTTTCTTGTGTAGAAATGGGTTTAACAGTAATCATGATACAAGGAGGACTACTTACTAGCTCTTCAGCTTTAGAGTTTTAAATTGTCATTGAAGGACACAAAAGGAAGACGTTAGTGAACAAAGAGATATACTCATGTTCATGGTTGGTAAGACACAAATACACAGAGATACATGTTTTCTTCAACCAGGCTATAAATTCAAAGTAGTCCCAATCAAATTCCCTATAGAACTTATTGTGGAACTTGAAAATTCTTTAGAAATTTCTATAGAAGAGTAAAGGTCCCAAAGTAGCCAAGACAGTCTTGAATAACAAGCAAGTAGATTTGACCTACTAGATGTGAGAGACTTTTTTTTTTTGAGTAGGACTCTCACTGCGCCATCCAGGCTGGAGTGTAGTGGCACGCTCAAGGCCACCACAACCTTGACCTGCTGGGCTCAGGTGATCCTTCCACCTCAGCTTTCCAAGTAGCTGGAACTACAGGCTACAGGTGCCCACCACCACACCCAGCTAATTTTTTGATTTATTGTAGAGATGAGGTCTCACCATGTTGCCTAGGCTGGTCTTGGACCCATGGACTCAGGCAATCTTCTCGCCTCTGCCTCCAAAAGTGGTGGTATTATAGGTGTCAGCCACCATGCCTGGCAAGACTTTTTAACATAATTAAATATACAATAATTGAAACAGTATCATATTGGTACAGAAATACCCAATGAAACCAGTGGAAAATAATGGAGGAGAAACAGGTCTGTATATATAGAAACTGGTGAATGACAAAGTTAATATTATGAATCAGTGGGGAAGGGATGTACTTAAAAGATAACTGGAGCCAGGTGCAGTGGGGCATACCTGTTGTCCCAGCTACTCGGAAGCCTGAGGCAGGAGGATCACCTGAGCCCAGAAGGTCAAGGCTGCAGTGAGCTATGATCACACAACTGTACTCCAGCCTAGGCGACGAAGCAAGATTCTGTCTCTTTAAAAAAAAAAAAATAGATGCTAGGACCTTGGTGATCATATGGAAAAATAGCAAACTTCCTACTTTATACTTTATTGGGTTTTTTTGTTTTTGTTTTTGTTTTTTTTGAGTTGGAGTCTCACTCTGTCACCCAGACTAGAGTACAGTGACTGCTCCCGGCCACCGCAGCCTCGCCTGTTGGGTGCTGGCGATCCTTCCGCCTCAGCCTTCCAAGTAGCTGGAACTTCAGGCGCTACCACACCCAGCTAATTTTTGATTTATTGGAGAGATAAGGTCTTGCCAAGTTGCCCAGGCAGGTCTCGAACCCGCAGGCTCAGGCAATCCACTCACCTCAGCCTCCCAAAG